ACAATGTGGGGTTTTTTTGACACAGTTAGTATAATCATATGTGTTGCCAGAAACATTGCTAAGGAGAGCAATGTTGGTGGCTGATAGGGACAGATGTTCCAGAAGCAGAGCTATTGAATCGGCAGCCTTAATTTTCTTGTAGCCTGTTTAAAAGGAGGAAATATTCATATTATACACTCATCTTATTGTTACACTCGAGGTAGGATCTGTAGATAACTGTATAATTATTGGAAACTTGCAAAACCCGTTTTACTGAAAGAAAACTGGAATGAGAGAAGTGAATGCAATGAATTAAGTTTCTTTGAAAGCAGTGCCAATCTCAGATTTTTTTTCAATTATTTAATTTAGCCAGGCCTATAAAAAACTGTTATTTTGGTCAACCTTTTTGTATTCCCTTAATACACAATACACAACCATACTACATACAGTTGCAGATGCAATCTGTGTGGCTAAATTACCATTCTGTTCAGATTCTACAAGAGGACAGGTTCCCAAGATTTTTCTACCATATACTATTACCAGTGAGTGATGGCCTTTCTTGCCAGTATGTTCCCTGCCCTTTTTTTTTTTACTTTTTGTTCCGTTTCATAGAAGTTAAAAGCATGTACTTGAACTTAATTTTGACCCCAACCACTGAAGTACAGAGACATCACCTTGCTGACTCTGAATAGTCAAAGTTATAGTTTTCCCAGGAGTAATGTATGGGCTGTGAGAGAGTGGCACGGTGGCCCAGAGGTGAAGACACTGGCTTCCCACTTGGAAGGTTGAAAGTTCAAATCTAGACAGGGGCAGATGTTTCTCTATCAGGGCATAAACAGAAAATATCTGCTGTGAACTCCATGTAGGCATCAGGAAAGGCCAATAAACGCTCAGTTCCATTCGGTTGCCCTGACTCCATCCCAAATAAAGGAATTAAAGGGTCGTAAAAAGAAAAAAAACCATATAGCAGTGAGAGTTGAACTGTAAGGAACGCTGAGCACCAAAGAAATGATGCCTTCAAATTGTGATGTTGGAGAAGACACTTGACAGTCTCTTGGATGGCGAGGAGATCAAATCAGTCAGTCCTAAAGGAAATCAACCTTGATTGTTCTTTGGAAGGAGAGATACTGAACTTGAAGCTCAAATACTTTGGCCGCCAAATGAGAAGAGAGGACTCTTTGGAAAAACCCTTGATGTTGGAAAAGGTAGAAAGCAAAAGGAGAATGGGATGGCAATGAATGAGATGGTTTGATAGTGTCATCGCAGTGGTGAAAAGCTGCCAGTTTCTACGAACTGGTATTTTTGACAATCAGCTGTGCCGCGCAATTTAAAATCGCTAGAAAGCAGGAAATCCTGCTTTCTAATGAATCTAAATCACACCACAGCTGTTTCCCCACCCCTCGCTGTTCTACTTACCTTCCCAAGCCTCCTTTTTCTGTGCGAAGAATATGTTTGGTGCATACTGGGCATGCACGTGCACACAGCATGTGTTTGGCGTGCACTGCACATGCGCAGCCAGCAAACAAGTGGCAAACTGGTTCAGATTTCAGCACTGTGTCATCGACACAATGAACATGAATTAGGGCAAACTCTGTGAGATGGTATAGGACAGGGAGGCCTGGCAATCTGTGGTCTATGGGGTCACAAAGTCAGACACAATTTAGTGACTGAACAACAATTGAAGTATGGTCTGTGGCTTGTCATGTTAAGGTCAACTATGTCCCTTAGCCTGAAAAATTTATATACTCCAGTCTTGATATGCTAAGACAGAGTTCCCCAACCTTTCCAGGTTGGTGGTCCAGAATGGGGGGGAAAGGGGGAAAGAGGGGATGGTTTTGTGGGTGGAGGAGGTGTGTGTCTGTGCACACGTGTGCATGCGTGAATGAGGTCGAGAGCTTGCGATACTCCACACAAGTGGGGCTGCGAGCTCCTGCAACACTCATGCGAGTGTGGCCCTGAGCGCCTGCGACACTCATGGGAATGGGGATGGACATGCGTGTACCAGCCAGCCACTCACACAGTCCCGTTTTGAATAGGCAAATAGGCTACGGACCAATAGTTTGCCGTAGCCCATAGGTTGGGGACCTCTGTGCTAAAAGATATGAACAAAAAAAATGTAACTCAAGACTGTGCAGATATTCTTGGGGCTTCATCAGTATGAATTGACTGTTTTGCTGCTTCTAGATTGCAAAGAATCAGATTTCTGATCTGATTCATTGCTATCATTAAAGCTTTAGTGACCTCTGTTGTCTTTTATCAGGTTTACCTAATATATTAGTAGCTGATTCATTTGGATGGAGTCACCTGGTTGAAATTACGGACACTCTGATAACATTTCATTTAGATTATTATAATCACATGTTTGCAGTACTGCTCTAATATCAGTTTGCTATTGATTCAAACTATGGCCAACAGATTACAAATGTTGGTTCCCTGTGTGTAATTGAGTCCACTTTAAAATGTTGGTTTTTAATCTTAAAAGTCCTAAATTGCTTAGTACTAGTTTGTCTGAAAGCTGTCTATATTTCTATATTTTATTTATTGTGTTTATTGCCTGATACGATAAAAAAAGTTTCCTGGAAGTTTTAGTATAAAAAGAATAAAATACATAAAAACCAATAAACAAAGACCCAGAGTATAATAGTGCCAATTCATATCTATCTATCTGAACATTATGGGCATTTTTCCAGAGGCCCCACCTCATGATTATTATTCAATGAAATTACATGGGGGGCTGTACTCATGGAACAGCCTACTCACTCAGCAAGATGCCTCAAATGTGATCCCTGGGCAGCAGGAAACGTTCACCCACACTTTTTAAATAAATTAAATAATTCACTTGAGATCTCTCAGTTTTCAAGTTATTCTGCGGTTGCTGTGAGTTTTTATTTTTGTTGCATTAATCTTGTTTTTGATTCCGCACAGCCTTTTGTATTAAATTGGTTTTCTGTTTACTTATTGTAATCTTTCCCCAAAGCTTCATCTTACATGGTGCTATACAAATGTCATAAATATTTAAAATAAATAACGTTTGGACAATCTTTTCTTCCTTTTCCTTTTGTAAATATTTTTTCTTCAAATTAAAAATGCTAGTGATAAGAATGGTAACTTTTAAGAATTAGTAATTGTGCTTTGAACTTTGAGCGTAAACCTTCCCACAGGGAGTAGATTAGCACTGAGAATCTTTTGAGCTAAAGAAAGGAATAAAAACCTGTTAAATAAATAAATACTGCATGGGTTAATACCATTATCCCAAGGCATTTTTTAACTGTTACTGAATAAACCATTGGAATGGTTCATATAATACACTGTCATAAATCATGGCTTACAAATTACATTGGCTATGTTTGTACAATGTCCTAAACTAAAAATAAACTGCATTGTGATTAATATGATATATGATCTTAGCAGTAGCTGTGTTTGCACAATACACTTAGTTAAATGCCATCACGTAGAACTTGTCTCCTGATGACTGCATGGGTAAATGCTTGACAGCTTGACATATCCTAAGCAACAACCCTACCTCTTCTTTGAATTCATCATCCATCTCATCCATTGTCGCCCTTTAATTTTCTTTCCTTAGCTTTGCCAAACATCGTTTTTCTTTTCCAGTCTCTCAACTTTTCATATCACGTGCCCAAAGGATTGTGCTTGACTGATCATCACTTCAAGGAAACAGTCAATTCCTTTAATCCGGGGCTGATTAATTGGGTTCTTGAAGTCCATGACCTTTTAGTGACCGTCTCCAAATCTGTAATTTGAAGGAGCCTATCTTGTTCGCTTTGTTCTTTTTAAATGTCTGGGTTTTAGAGCCATACATTAATACGTCATTACTTTCAATATTGTCCTTTTTAAAATGAACTTGCTTAAGTGTGTCATAGATTCATTCCCTAGGATTAATCTTTTTGCTCATGTAGTATTATTTTCCTGTTTAGCTATTCTTAAACTCAAAGGGGGAAGCCACCCTCAGTTTTTCACTTTTAGGCGTAAATTTCCTATGCATATTACTTAATTCTGTCTTTGCTTTTAATCTGACATGTGTTTTCTTTTTATGTCGCCCAATAACCAACCTGTAGCACCATATTTATGCAAAGCATTCCATAATTCAAATGTATTTACTTTGTCATGTACTATGCAACAACTTTTTTTTATCATATTCATATACTTCTTAATGATCTAAAATGGGAGGAGGGGGGAAATGGTCTACACACCCAACATAAAATCACAACATCCCCAAATCGGCTTGTTGTTATTACTACCTTAATATGTTTGCAACTATCTTTTCCCCCCATATGCACTGCAGAATGTCTTTTGGTTTTTAAATTAGTGTAAACGTAGGTAAACAAAAATGACAGATTTCTTCCAAAAATAATATCAAAATAAAGAACAATATACGAATTAAAATAGTGTGAATAGACCTATAGGCACTTTATTAAAATTGAAGGGGTTGGAGTTTACTGTAGGCAAGCGATGGCCTAAGAGAATTCTAAACATTTGAGGCTATAAATGTCCTTGATTTCCTGATTGTGCAAGCAAGAATCGCTAACAGTCAGTAATAATGCTTGAATTAGCATCTCTAAAAAAAACTAGTGATCTAATGATTAAGGTACCAGCTAGAAACAGGAGACTGTGAGTTCTAGGCCTCCCTTAGGCATGAAAGCTGGTTGGGAGACTTTGGGGCAGTCACACACTCTCGACCCAACTCACCTCACTGGTTGTTTTTGTGGGGAAAATAAAAGAAATAAAGAGTATTAGGTATATTTGCCACCTTTACTTACTTATAAAAAAATATTAAAGGCAGAGTAAAAAAAATCCCTTTCTGATTATGCATACAAGTAGAAAGTGTTTTACCAAGCAATGCAGCAAACAACACCTTTTGGCCTATGTGTTGTTTCTTATGGAAATACAGATACCCTTTTATGATATCAAAAATAGATTTTTCACAACCAATAGATATCAAAATGTATGTGGGATTAATAATCTTACACCATTTCTTTTATTCCTCTCTCTTTTTTCTTTAGATAGATAAATGGCTGGCCTTGTGGATAAAACTCTTGTTTACACCTGAACACGTCCAAGTTCAGACCCCCAATCAACTTTAGCTTTTCTGCCTATATTTTGGTAAGTTTTCTCCTTGTGCATCTTTGTAACTTCACAGTACATCTTTTAAAATAATGTTTATCTTTACAAATTTAACATTTCATTCTCTTTCCTGGTACTACATTTGACTATCTAGGCCTGTGATGGCGAACCTATGACACGCGTGCCACAGGTGGCACACAGAGCCATATTAGTGGGCACGCCAGCTCAGCTCTGGGGTGCATGTGCGCGCCGGCCAGCTGATTTTCGGGCCTTCTGGGCCCACCAGAAGTAGGGAAACAGGCTGTTTCCTGCCTCTGGAGGGCCTGGGGGCGGGGTGGGGAAGGCCCGTTTTTCTTCTTACCTGGCTCCAGATCCTCTCTGTGTATCTGGGAAGGGCGAAAACAGCCTTTCCCACTCCCTTGGAGGCCCTACGGAGGCTGAAAGGGCCCATTTCCCAGCTCCCGGCGGGACAGGAAGTGACGTTTTTTTCCTGTCCCCAGCTTCCAGAGATTCCTAGAGAGGCTTCTAGAGACTCCTAGAGAGGAGCGGGGGGGGAGGGGGAGGGGGTTGCGCACGCATGTGCGTGGGCACGTGTGCACGCGACCCTCCCCCGCCCCCCTCTCCTGGCACGCGATGGCAAAAAAGTTAGCCATCACTGATCTAGGCGCACAGTTTGAACTAGGAAAATTATTCTTGTGATTAGTGTGGTAGTGGTAATATTAAAGGAATGGGCAAGCAATAGGTAGTTCATACTTACTTCCCCTTCTCCTAATGTTTAATGATACATAGCTTTAGCTGTGAAAAAGTTCAATTATTGTATATGTACCACTATCTACTACTATCATAGTTCCACAACTGAAATTTTAGGAGTATTTATTTAGGAAATAAATACCATGCCATCTGAATCCAGAGTACGGTAGAATTATAGCAATAACAATAGCACTTAGACTTATATGCCGCTTCACAGTACTTTATCAGCCCCTCTCTAAGTGGTTTACAGAGTCAGTCAGTATATTGCCCCCAACAATTTGGCTCCTCATTTTACCCACCTCGGAAGGATGGAAGACTGAGTCAACCTTGAGCCTGGCGAGATTCGATCTGCCAAATTGCAGGCAGCCAGCAGTCAGCAGAAGTAGCCTGCAGTACTGCATTCTAACCACTGCTCCATTGCGGCTCATAGAATTATGATAATGTTTTGGGGTCATACAGAATGTGAAATTGTGCTTTTCATATCTTAATGTAAGGAATAATTTGGCCAAAAACATGGATATAGCCATGGATAATTGCACACAGGTCCAGCGTCTGGCAGAGCTTAGGGTACATGGCCTGAACTGCAATGGAACTCTTCTGGGGATAAGGGCAGTCAGAAGAAATGGCTTTTATCAATTTTGATCAATCCAGTAGTTTCATATTTTTACCAGTTTATCTAAGAGATGTTGGTATGTACAGTTAGTCCTTGATTTACAACAGTTTATTTAGTGACCATTCAAAGTTACAATGGCACTGAAAAAAAGTGACTTATGACCATTTTTCACAGTTATGACCTTTGCAGCATCCCCCTGGTCACATGATAAAAATTCAGATGCTTGGCAACTGCTTCATGTGTATGATCATTGCTGTGCCCTGGGGTCATGTGATCATCTTTTGCAACCTTCTGACAAGCAAAGTCAATGCGGAAGCCAGATTCACTTAAAAACCATGTTACTAATTTAACAGCTGCAGTGATTCACTTAACAACTGTGCCAAAAAAGGTCGTAAAATGGGACAAAGCTAACTTAACTAATGTCTCACTTAACAACAGAAATTTTGGGCTCAATTGTGGTCATAAGTCAAAGACTATCTGTACTAAAGTTCTTTACTCGAAAGGAATTTTAAGGTTTGAGCATTATACATTCTCCTTCGTTAGATCCTGAGAATAAAAATAGTCATAGGCTAGGATAGAATTACTTGGAGAAATTCCTAAAATACTGGAATTTTAATTTTAACATAAATATGAGCCAGTTGCCAAGCATCTAAAATACTAGGTAAATCATTGTGATATCTTTGTGAAGGATAAGATAAAAGTGGAGGCATTCATAAAAGAAATCTAGTTGAGTTTCTGCACAATTGTCATGGATATTTATGGTTTGTCTACTTTGCTTCTTTTGCTGATGAAAAATAGTTTAGTAGTAGCAGTCATTCCATCTGAAATATATTTTTGCCCACTGCATTTCTCATGAAAAGCATACGCAAATAATTTTTAATCACATTAGATACAACTTATATATAGTTTTTAATGTACTAATATTGTGATATCATAGTGCCTTTCATTGCTTTAGTTAAGTATCTAAGTATATTCTTCCCAACTTAAAGGCCAATGTATATGAAGCCAGAATGAACTTAATCCAGAAAGGTTCAACAATAATGAACCTCTGCAGTTTAAAGTTACAAGTTTTTGTTATGCTTACATTGTTTCTAATTAGATATAAATGTTTAAGTTATAGATAGTACTTGATTTATGACTTGTTGCTTAGTGACCATTAGCACAGGCCTCCCTTGGGGTTATTTGCAAAATGGTTTTGAAGTTACAACAGCATATGAAACAAGTTACAATGCCCCATAAACTCCATGACCACATCTTGGGCACTTGGCAACCGGCCTGCATTTACAGCTGTTTGTAGTATCTCACAATCAGGTGATTACGTTTTATTATAGGTTTGCTGAAAACCAGCATTTATCGTCAGTTGTCATCAAAACTGGCCCATAGTGAACCATTGTTTCACTCAACAACTGCAACATTTGCTTAATGAGTGCCGCAGAAGAGATAATATTGGGTCAGTAATGCGGGTGACCTGATTTACTATCCTCACGACTTATGACTATGTTGGGCTGGTTCCATTAGAGTTGTAAATCAAAGACGACCTGTGCCAACTACTTTCTGTGAGTATTCTATGCTTAAAAATGTATCTGCTGATTAGCCCTAGTGTAACCTAATTCTGCATCTGTATAAATGGCTCCTTTTATTTGTTAGTTAGTTGGTAAAAGAATCTCAGAAATATGTGGACTATCGTTTTCACACTTAAAGATAAATGTGACTGCAACAGAGATGGTTGTGATATAGGGTAGCAGCCTCCAAACTTTTGGGCGCTAGGGACTAGTTCCATGGAGAGAGAGGTTTTTCCATGGACCAGAGGGGGTTTAGTTTTGTATGCCGCCTGCATCCCGTGGATGGGGCTTAACTTGTTTGCATGGCCTGGTTTCTGGCATGCCGCAGACCAGTGTTGGTCCATGGACCAGGGGTTGGGGACCCCTGATATAGGGGACTTCATGATGTGTTGGCTTCAGTGGTGGGATTCAAATTTTTTTACTACCGGTTCTGTGGGTGTGGCTTGGTGGGTGTGGCTTGGTGGGTGTGGTAGGGAAAGGATGCTGTAAAATCTCCATTTCCACCCCACTTCAGCGGAAGGATACTGTAAAATCTTCATTTCCATCCCACTCCAGCAGAAGGTTACTGCAAAATCCCAATTTTCTCCCGATCAGCTGGGACTTGGGAGGCAGAGAACAGATGGCGGGAGGGGCAGTCAGAGGTGGTATTTACCGATTCTCTGAACTACTCAAAATTTCCGCTACCGATTCTCCAGAACTGGTCAGAACCTGCTGAATCCCACCTCTGGTTGGCTTGTCCTTTTGAGGCACTACAATAGGTAAAGAGACCTCATGCTGCTACAAGCAGTCGCCTTTGTGCTTGATTCAAGAAATTCTTCGGTCAGTCCATTAAATCATGGGACTGAATCCTAGGAGATAAAAGAATGCAATTTGTTTTGTTTTGTTTTTCAGTCCAGCCATTAGCTAACACATTTATTTTACTGCAAGATTGTTAATATGCACCAACAGAGGATCTGACTGAGTACATGGGAGATGGTCCTAGCAGAGAATTATAAAGCATCTGTATTTGTATCTATCCATGGTCCAGCACTGAACTAATACATTTTCAGAGAAAATGTGTTTTGTGGTGCCCCAGATAGCGGAAGGCGTTTAATCAGCCAATCTGTTTGCAGTCTGTTCAGCACCTGTTCTGCAGGCAATCATAGCTGAAGTATGCCATTTCATACTTGGCAAAGCAGACTTCTCCTGAACATTTGCCAGCTCTAGCAGAATAATGGTAGAAAAAAAATGTGGCACCATGCTAAGGATTAAGCAAATGAAAACTCCAGGCCTTAATTAAAATAATAGTCAAGAAAGGAAACATTGTTCACTATTTATTAGATTAACTGCTGGGGAAACTATATTCCTAAAGAATTTCTTAATAAGAGTCCTAGAAATAGAAAGTTTCTTTCTGAGAATGCATTTGAATGCAATTTAAAACAAGCATTGTTTTTTAAAATACTAATCTGCAATGAGACTTGGGTTGTACAGGTAGTTTTCGACTTACAGCAGTTCATTTAGTGTCCGTTCAAAGTTACAATGTCACTGAAAAAAATGACTTATGACTGTTTTTCATACTTATGACTGTTTCGGCAGCCCCATGGTCATGTGATCAACCATGGTAATTGAGCAAAATTCAGTTAACAAATGTTTCTCTTAGCAACAGATATTTTGGGCTCAATTATGGTCATAAATTGAGGACTTATAAATACAAACAAAGCAGGTATGGATAAAGCAAATAGTTCTTACTCTGTATACAATAGTCAATACAGATGAACAGGAAGAGGAATGAATTTTCACAGGAGCAGAGTATATTAAATAATATGCAGCCAGGAGTCTGGCAAATGGAAAAGGGGAGCTTCAATAGAGACTATTTCAGCAAGCTAATAATGATAAATGTCTGAAGCTGCATTATAATAAATCAGATTATTAGTCCATCTAGCTCAGTATATGAATAATGACCAGTAGAAATAGCTCTTAGGAGTTTTTCATTAGGAGTTACAAGAGATCGATCCCACAGATTTCTAGACACGTTGTGCTAATGGACTATGACATTCCTACAAACCAAAGTGATTATCTTTTTTTTAATGAGCTTATCTTATTATGAAGGGTGTATGTGAAAAAAGGAGATTTGTGTATGGTTAAGATTCCTGTGGAGGTCACAGGGTTTGCACTACAGCCATCTGGGAAATTTCTTTCAGTTGAGGTTGAATGGTTCAGTCTTTGGGACATATTTTATATATCTATACTAGCTGGACGTCCGTGGTTTGCTATGAAACTATGTGTTCAGGCTTGATAAATTGACACTTACAGCCTGAAACCTAATGTAGAATGTACTCCATAGCATCAGAGTGTGTTAATATAATGCAACTGGCAGTTGGAACAGAGGGGGAGGGGGAGTAGAATGTCCCAGCCCGCAGCATCCATCAGTATTCATCTGGCTAGTATCCTATCAGTGTGTGAAAAAGTTGAGGGGTGTATGGAAACTCAAACAGTATTTGCTGTGTGAGCAAGAAGACGATAGGAAGGAGGCTGGGCGTGGCTTAGCTCAACTGTTCTGTAGTAAAGCTGCTTGCTGCTGTGAAAGTAAAACTGAAAGTGAAACTCCTGTCCTCTGGTTGTGTTTTGCATTTGGAACAGATTTCTTTTGAGTTGGGGAGGGGGAGTAGAACTCCTTGGCATCAGAACGTGGAACAGATTTCTTTTCAGTTGGAGAGGGGGAGTAGAACTCTTTAGCATCACAGCGTGTTAATCATAATATAGGAAATACTAATGCTCTGATGGTCCTTTTGAAAAATCCTTTATTAGTGAGCACCTAGAAGCCAAGAGGAACATATGTGGCAAATATCAAGTTTGTAGGCTTTACAGTTCTGGAGATTTTGTGATTACGGCGTGAGTGGTTTCGCTTTTATATATATAGATTTGCTAACAATAAGTTAAAACAATCTAAAGCAAATATACTGAAATGCAAAAAATATTTTTAAAAGGAGTATACCTTTTAAATAATGAAACGCACTAAGATAAAACTTCTGATAAGATCTACATCTCTTGCGGGAAGAATGATTTCCTCTATAACAGCGGTCCTCAACCATGGACTGGCAACAGCACGAGGTGGGGGGAGAGGGGATGGTTTCACACCCGCGACATAATCCCGTGCATACACAAATAAAGCTTTGCACGTTCTCCCACCACTTGCATGGCCTGGTTCCCAACAGGCCACGGACTGGGACCGGTCTGCGGCCTAGGCATTGGAGACTCCTGCACTATAAGGTGTACAATATGCACACTTCCTGTTTCAGCTGCTCCTGTCCTATGCTTATTCTGCCTTGAATGTTTGTCAAAATACTGTCTGGATTGAGACGTTTTCATAGAGACAGCTTTGTGTCTGTGAGAGAGAGGGGGAGGGGGAGGGGAGAGAGAGAGCACATGTGGGTATGCATAGACAGCTAATTCTTACTGTTGTTAAACATTACCAGCCCAAATCAATCCACTGCAGGGTAAAAGCCTCTTTATTAAAATATGCAGCTTTAGCAAAATTTTGTTTCTATCTGATATTTTTTGGAACTACTTTAGCTGTGAGTGCTATAATAGCACAAACGTTATAACTGTTGCCATATAAATAGAAGCTTCTGGCAGTGGAGTTCCTCAGGCCTCCCTTTGCTTGATCCTAAGTTGTAAGTGGTTCAGAACAGTGGTGAAAACTAAAATTTGTTACTACCGGTTCTGTGGGCGTGGCTTGGGGGGGGGTAATGTGACTGGGTGGGCATGGCCAATTTTTTTTTTTTACTTTTAAAACCATTTTTTACATGTAAAACCATTTTAAAAAATGCTTTCAAAAGGCTCTGACAATCCCAGCTGAGTTGCCTGATCGGTAGGCAACTCAGCTGGGATCATCAGAGCTTGGATCGTCAGAGCTTGGATCGTCAGAGGCATTTAAAAGAAAAAAAGCCTCTGATGATCGCGTGGCTCAGCTGGGCATGGGGGGCGGGGGCAGGGATTTTTGCTACCGGTTCTCCGAACTGCCTGCCGCCATCACTACCTACTCGCCCGAGCCGGTCCGAACCGGGAGCATTTCACCCCTGGTTCAGGAGTTCATGACCATCATGGCAAACATTTCAGGTTCCTGGAGGCCCAAATTGCCTGGGAGAGGTGGAGCAGGGGAGAGATGACACACTAGATCTAGTTTGTCTTGAAGCAGTGATTAACATGATTTAAAGTTGGGGGATATTGACCTCAACCCATTGCCATGGATAGATGGTCCCCTGCTTTGGAGTTCTCTAGGGCTGCTCTCCAATGCAAAGAAGGGGATTTATTGGACTGGTCTATCCCAGGCACGTGATGGACCCAGTGGGATCCACAGGAAACCTAGGTAGTTTCTGAAGTTTTAGTGCATAGTTTGACCGAGTCCTTAATCGTTGCTTGGAACAAATAAGCAATGATGTCTTTGGATTAGTTTGTACCTATGTGGATTCTCTATGCATGAGGGTTTTAGAAGGCCCCTTGGTTTTCAGAAAAACACCAGGAAATGAAGTAGCATAAGAAACACCTAAAGGAGGAAGATGAAGAGCAAGTCCAACTGACACAGGTAAGAGCCTATATTAAGGACTTCCTTTTGGTGATAAGGGTGGTAAAATGTACATATTTCTCTGCCTTTTTTGCATCCATGAACAGATGTCTGGCAACTTTCTTTCAGGTAATGCAGGGCCTTCGGGTAAGGAGAAATTGGATGAATAATTGCAGAGTCATTGTGAGAATTTTGTTGAATATCTGTTAGATAAAATCTTTTGGATTCATTCAGAGTTGACCTTAACAGTGCTGATCCACTGTAGGTGATTGAGGCCCAGTTTTGCCAATTATGTGGACTGAGTTCAATCTTGTGATTCCCAAGTAAGTTGACAGAGTCCTTGGGACTCTGACTTCTACCATCTGTTTGTTAGGTTTATGTCCATCCCATTGGTCAGGTCCTCCTAAGAAGTGATATGTAACTGGATTCAAGAAATGATGCATGGTGTTTT